CTTCAACCTAAGAAGGTGAGTCTCACCCCTTTAGACTTAACCAACAGAAGGGCCTTTCTTCGTGAAATTAGTTTCGATGTTTTTATCAGCATCTTTATCCTTTCCTCAACTGTGAAGCCTGTCATTCATTAGCCAACTTTCAACCTAACAAAGCAACTCTCGTCCCATCAAACATGAACTGGAATCAGGCTTTTTTATTGTGGCAAAATTTCCATTAGCGTTATCATTATGATCAACCTTTAAAAACAATTTTTCAACTTGATAATGCATGCTATTACATTAATTGCGATTTTTTGAGTAGAAAAAATGCTTTTTGATTTACTTAATTTTGTAGTTACAAATTTGGGTCAGGAAAAGTTGCAACTAGAATCTTGCAATTTGTTATTATTTCATTTGTTATCTTGCAGTTATCAATAAAAAAGTTTACCATGAATTTTGTTATTAATTGTTTGCTTGATAATTATTAAAGTTGGTTAGGATAAACTTGAAATGAATTATTATCCTTTAACATTGAAACAAAAAAAAGAGAGAAACGAAATTAATTTAATTGTTACAAAGTTTAATCAACTTTTGTTCTCCTCTTTCCCTGTTGATTCAGTTTCTTTTTTTTCGCTATTCATGATAACGATAATAACGATGATAATTATTAAACATTCAATAGTATTTAAAGCCAAAAGAAAACATTATAAATCATTTTTAATCAAATAATCGGAATGAGCGTTAATCATTATCATAAAGCAAACATTGAGTATTTTCATAAACACAGAGATGAACAGACGAAACTACAATTTAATTTATTATCATTATTATTGTTGATTAAAGTTGAAAATAATAAAGCAATAAATATCAATGAGAAACAGGCAGAGAAAAAAAACTCTACTGACGAAATGGAAAGTGCGTTTTCAACAGAAAAACGAATTAAAAGTTGGAAAAAACTTTCGTCCCGATTTACCTTTAGACTTGAGTCTGAACAGTTTCATGGTGAATTTAATCTTTTCCTGTTTACGAGTTTTCACTGGAAATCTAAATAGCAACAGGTAAATGTTATCTTGAATAAGAGTAACAAGAAACTTTCTGTTTACACTTTCAATACTTTATACAAGCGACTGACCACAGGTTAGTGAACAAGAAAAGGGGAAAAAAGTCAAACAAAAAGATTTCCACTTTTCTCATTTTTACCTCAACGATTATGGAAGAAAATGTTTACAAAAAAAAGAAAGAAAAAGATTCATCTGTATTTGTATTCGTCAATGATATTTTACTCTTTACCTTCACCTTGTTCAAGACCATTTTTAGAAATGTTTAGTTCTCTTTTGGGCCAAATTTATTCTTCATCAACATTTACTGAATGGTCCTTACATTCAGGTAAAGAGCCAGAGAGAATGAAAGAAAAGCTGAAAAGACGATTTACCTTTTTTAATTTTGTTCCCATATGTTTGCGTTCACTATTTACAAAGGTAGGTAAACACCTTCAAAGGTTCCAGGTAAAGCGTAATAACAAGTAAGGGAAGAAGCAAAGAGAGAAAGAGAGAAAAGCTTGAAAAGCAATGAAGAAGAAGAATAAAAAATTTGAATGGAAAAGTCATTTTGATGATGGAAGATAAAAATTGTGGCGAAAAAAAGGTAAGTCCAAGAAGGGCCACCAAAGAAATCAGCATCGAGAGAAGAGAAAAATTTCCTTTTCTCTCTTTTCGATAAAGAAAAATGTTTTTCAAGAATGAAATGTACAAAACTGTGCTAAAGTGCGTGTAAAAGTTTAAATTACGAACATGTTTACAAGGTAAAAATGTCTTCTTTTTTACTATCAATTTTCTTCTTTTCATTCTCATTCTTTACCATCGACTTTACACTTTACTTGTTACCTTGTTTTGTCCAGCTTCTCATTTCTCAGGCAAATCATAGACAGTTGATTGAATGTATTTACTGTCAATGAAACTTGGACAGTTTCCACTCGAAATTTATCTTTTTGTCAATTCGCTTTGAGAGGAAAATATTTTTAAAATTTTTGATAAATTGGACTAAAAAATGTATTCTTTTTGTGACTCTTTGAGCGAGCATTTTTCTTTGCTTCATTTTTTGATTCAAAATTGAGTTTGAAATTTTGTTTCCATTTGTAATTGGTTTAATGAATACATTGAAATGAACATTGAAACGGAAAATTATCTAATCATTTGTCATTAAGAATCTCAAGTTTGACAGTTTAATGTCATTGTGACTTGAACTTTACTATTGACTTTTGTGGTTGCTAAGTTTTTTTGTTTCAACTCTTTCGGTAGACATAAAAGATGGGAAAAGCCTCATGAAAAACTGATTCTGGAAAAAGATTATTTTTACCTTTTTCTTACTTTTCTTTCTTTCCATCATTATCATGATGTGAGTCCAATCAGTTTCAATCAACAGAAAATAGTGAAATCATCATTAAATTGTACTTAAAATGCCAATGCCATTTTGTTGATGTTCACTTGAACAAGATGTGAAATTATCATTCATCTTATCTTTGGATGAATGAATGGAGAGAGAAGAATCTAAAGCAAGAGAAAGAATAGAAATAAAGTATCATAAATGAATCAAAAATTCTTTGACCATGAGTTTGGAACTTTTCTTCTTTTCCATTTTCTCTTCGTTTTGCGCTTCTCCATGGAAGATTCATTGAAAGAGATCGTGAATTGCAATTGGCATTCTTGGAAACAAAATACAAAAGGGAAAAGAGAAACTCAATTGTTTCAAAGTTATCTAATTCAAACTCATACCAGTGAACTTTATCATCATTAAAGTGATCATATTGAGCGTTCCATTGTCATTGGAGGAAAAAAAATTTCCGTTTCTTTTCAGTTCAAAAGATTCGAATGAAACGAAGCAAAACAGGAAAAAAATCGCTCTCAATATGTTATCATAATTGATAATGTATTATGCCAAAGGCAGTTCGAAGCAGATGATGAGAAGAGAGAGAGAGAGAGAAAAGGCAATGAGGAGAAAAAAAAGAGTCTCGAATAATATTAACATTGAAATAATTTATTATAAATTTTCTCGTTCTTTTCGCCTTTCAAGTTGCACGAACTTTAAAAATGTATTTACGTCTAAAAGTAATATTCAAGTTTACAGTTTGAGAAACAAAAAAGCTTACACTTCATTATAATGTTCATTGAAGGATAAAACTTGAACCGTCTATGTGGGCTTAATATTGACTCTTCTTTGAACAAAAAATTGTTACATGTTACTGGCATGAACCAAGGTTTGATTTAAAATTTTTGTATTGTTAGACAGTTGGAAAGGCAATCAACATTATGGTGGTTAAAGGTCGACTGATGAACCAAATGGTTAACTGATGATTGGATAATCAAGGCAGGGAGTGAAGAAAAGATGGCGAGATGAATAACTGGAAGGAATTGGAGATGAAAAAAAGAGGGAATAATATCAATGTTTAACCTTTTTCTTCTTCTGGTAACTACCAAAGGGACACAGCATTTGAAATGTTGGGGGACAACAGTTGAAGGAGGTTGAAGGAAGAGATTTGGGTGAGGAAAGAGCGATGATGAGAGGTAAAGTTTAATCATTTTGGATGATCGTTTTGAAGATGCCAATGAGAGGGATAAAAGTGTTTGTTTCATAAATGGAAATGCGTTTCGAAAATGAATAAACATTGTAACTGCAATAAAAATGGTTCACATGGATTTATTAGTTTGCTATACTAATTGTAGATTAAGGTCATTCTTGATTAGATTCAACAGAATTGAGCTTTCACTCTGAGTTTTTCTCTACTTTTCGTCTCTCATCTTCCTCCTTCTTCCTTCCGTTTTTTTCTCTCTCTTCTTCCGACTCTTTCCCTCTCATCACGAGAAATTACCTTTTGCTTCATTTTCTCCTTCTTTCTTTCTCTCGCTCTTCTCTTGCCCTTTTCTTCGTGATAAATGACCTGGAAAGGAAAGGAAAAACCTTTGAAACCATCAGCGTCATCTTGAAACCCTTTTGGGATCATTATTTTGGCTCATTTTAATGATGAACGTAAAAATTTTAAACTTTATTTTGGATCATTAGTTTACTTTTAGAGGGACTTCCGTGTAATCAAGAGGATCAAATAAAGATATTAAACAAGATTCAAATTATGTTCAACTCTTGACCATTGGTTGAGTCAATCAAAACTGGTTGAATAATCAGCTAAATGTATTGCAACGTCTCAATATCAATTTAAAAGTTTACCTTCAACTCTAACCATTAAATGAAACCGATAACAGGCTAACATTGAAAAAAATTGACTCAATTTTTGTAAATTCAATTTCAAGTAAAACATTCATCAAATTGGTTTAAATGTTGGCTTTGAAATGAGTTGGATAAAAATAATCTTTCGATGAAAAAATTATTCTAAAAAGGCAAGAATAAGATCACGAAATTTTCATGCAAAAAAACGATATTTCAAGGTATTGAGATTATCTTCAAGTTGCGAAATGTTACCTTAAATACTCTGTAAATATCCAACATTGAAACTTGAAAACGAGTTTCTTGAATCTGGAAATCGATCGATTAAACCAGAAATAGATGAACATAATTGAAGTGATACAATGAGATTAAACATTCAATGTTGTTAATCATCTTGAGTTGAAATTTTCCAATGTTAATGATTTCTCTGTGCGATGGAATGAAAAATTTTCATTAACAGAGTTTGTTTAATCGAGAAAATTGAATTACTTTTTGAATATTGAGCCGTGATAATTTCGGGTTTAAGTCGTTTGGATCAAGATATTTATGTGATTAAATTGTGTTCTCAGTGTTTTAGATTAATTAACTTAAATAATTGGTGCAACATTTATCAAACTGTCAACTTCATTTTAACCTCAAGTCTTGTTCAATTTTAATATTACATGAGACTTTGCTGTTCAATGTTAATGGAATCACAAAATCTGTTGGTTATAATGTTTTTATCTGGTTGCCACCAGATGGCGTCATGTACAGGAACAGTAAAACTCTCTTGCTCACTTGGCTCACTCGAGTCACTCTCACTTGGTTGAATCTGGACAAACCTCGCACAACCAGATTTTTTGATCTCACTCTTGCTGTAATTCTTGAAGTGTTGACTTCTCTTATTTCCTTTTTTTACCTCTAATCAGATCTACTACTTATATTTTTTATTGACTTAACAATTTTTTGTTTTTTTAATATTAGTCCACGTATAATATGGCAGTTTTTGGATCATTAAATGTTTCTACTGGATCTCTTACTCCGTATACCGATGCAACGCAGTGTAAAAAAGTTACAAACCATATTAAAAGGCCGATGAATGCTTTTATGGTTTGGTCTCAAATTGAGAGGAGAAAGATTTGTGAACAACAACCGGATATGCACAATGCCGAGATAAGTAAAAGATTGGGTAAAAGGTGGAAGACACTTTCCGATTCTGATCGACAGCCATTTGTTGAAGAAGCTGAAAGGCTTAGGATACTCCATATGCAACAGTTTCCCGATTATAAGTACAGGCCACGAAAAAAGGCTAAAACAAGTCACACACCACAACCAACCCCAGTTAAATCAAGTGGAAGCAACAATAATTGCAATAGATTTATTTCATCAACAATAACAGCATCACCAAGTGAAAAAATTGGTTTAAACCATTTAGTGACCAAAGGTTCTATTAATTCACAGCCATTGTGTTCAAATCTTACAAAAAAATTAACTAGTGATACATCAGTTACATCATCAACAACAACAAATGCAACAGCAGTAGCAGCAGCAGCAGCTTCACTGGCATCTACCGTTTCAACTGCGGCAGTGGCATCAGTACCAGCAGTCGATTCAACATCTTCTCTGGTTTCAACGGCTTCAGTACCAGCAGTTGTATCTGTGGCACAACCGACAGCAGCAGCAGCGGCAGTGGCAGCAGCTTCAGTGGCAGAGTTATCAGTAGCATCTAACGGAGTATCAACAACGTCCTTGTTAACAGAAGCTTCAACAACTTCAACATCAACAACACCAACTTTAACAACATTAACAACACCGCCATCAACATCGCCATCCTTAACACTGAATAACACAAAAACAACAACATCCACAATTACAACATCAACAATACCAACATCTACAACACCAACCGATACGAATAATTCATCCTCATCATCATTGTTATCTGTTTCATTATCATCCTTAAGTGTTGGATTAAGTGTCTCAATATCATCCTCTTCTCATTCATCTTCTTCTTGTTCATCGGTATCTTCCCCTGCGGCTTCATCTGTTGATGACTTCTCGGCTCTTGATGATTTGTCCGATGTCCTACAATTGGAATCTAATTGGGCGCAAGAGTTGGGAAGCCTTATCCTAACACCAATCTCTGATTTGGATACTCTTGATACTGCAAGCTCAAGCTCTGGTTCACACTTTGAGTTTCCCGATTACATTGAGGATTTAAATGGAAAAATTTACCTCAAATAAATTAACCAACAAGTAAACAACAACTTTATCTGATTAATATCCAAAATGTTTAAATCAAATGATACGATCCAAAAACTTGATTTGCAACAAATATTAATGATATCGAAAGATAAACCTCATTTTCATGAAAAAAAATTAAAACAAATTACACATTCTATTTTCAATAATGACAGAATTTTTTTCCCATTTTTTTTGATTTAATTTAGTTTATTTTCGTTTTAAAAGAGTGTTACATCAATAAATTTCATGCATATAAAAAAAATGCGATTCATTTTTTAATCGCACGACGACCTTGTTATTAATGTTATTGTCATCATCATCTGTTGATCATTATCATCATCATTCATAAACATCATGAATGTATTTTTTTCTGTTATATTTTTACATTGTAAGCGTTGTAAGTGAGGTAAATGGAGAGAGGGAGAGAAAGAGATAGAGAGATCGAAGAAATGAAAGGAAAGAAACAGAAAGGGTTAACATCTTCATTATGGATACAAATTTCAATGAACAGTTAACCATTTGTTACAAAGGAGTTGGAAATTGAAAATGTGGCTCAACAACATTTAGCTGCTTTATTAACCCACAATAATTTACCATTGGGATGAGCGAAGCGATAATAGATTAACATGAATACAATTCCAAGGGCAAAGGCACTTGCTAATCCAGTATAAATTGTCAATGCAGATAAATGATGAATTGGTGATTCAAGGTGAGTTACCTTAATAAACCATAAACCTGTTAAGATTAAATTTTCAATTACCATAATACAATAATAGGCAGCATATTTATACCGTGTAGGCTCATCTTTGATGTTAAGAAATTCAAATAAATACAGAAGACCGAGTATCATGTTGAAAAGATATTCAGATTGCTCATGGCGACAAAAATGGGTTCCCTGGTGCATCACCCAAATGGTCATGATTCCCCAATGGCCAATTGCAATGGGTAATATCCAATAGGAAAATGAGGATATAAAAAGTCCAATGGACATGGTTCGACAAGTTAATGTACCAAGTCTCCAAAGGAAGGACAAGATTACACCGTACGAGCTCATGTTGCCCTTTTCAGGTATCGATCGACGAAGGGCTCGATGGTAAGAGGCCAACGACCAACTGGTCAATACTAAGCAACTTAAAATGGAGGCTAATTGAAGCATAACTAGACATTTCCAATCCATTGGCGACCACAATTCAATGTTTCCAGTAAAAACCACATTTTGTCCAGATATTGATCAGGTTGATGATGATGGTGGATGATGTTCATGTTGATGATGTAATGTTGAAAAGTAACAACAACCATGATAAGTATAACCAATATGGAGGGTTGAAGAGAGAGAGAGGAAGGAGGGAAAAAGAAAAGAGAAAAAAGAGGGAAAATTAGACAAGATTATAATAGAGGCTGTTGCTTATTCGATTTTTAAACACACAGATGGTGGGGAAAGAATAGATTGTAATAATTAAATGTTAACATCATCCTAATAAAGTGATCACCTTTTCAAACGAAAAGTCTACATGATTGGTAGTATGAAGGGTATTGAGGTGAGTCACCTCGGCAACAACAGTCAAGTATCATTATTTTTCGTTAAACAGCTAAACTTTACAGTTGTATTCAAATGATAGAATGGCATTTTTGTTAAATAAAGCTAAAACTTTTCTAAACCTAAACAGATTTACCGTTTGTTCAACAGAAAAAAGAGAAAGTGGTGAAAAAATCGTCATCTATTGCATAGAGAATCACTATTTTCCCACTTTTCTACTTCTCTTCAAACAACCGATAGACATCTTCAGGTTTTTTCAAATTGCGAGTCAAGTCTCTTGACGTTACTTTCATGGCGCCACAACTTGTAATGTAAAGGAAAGTTTGTAACCGTCAATACAAGAGGTCGCTCCAGATGAGCATCCAAAAAGAAAGAGCAAAAGGAAAGGCAAAACATCTCACTCGAAGTGAGTTTTTATTCTCACTCTTGATCTCAGTGACATCTATCAACACAACATGTCAACACTTGAATTTTTAAAGAAAATAAACTTTTCTCTTTACAATAAAAATCTTGAATCTTTTTCAAATCATCATTTCATACGTTTCTCCATGTTAATCCAAATAATCAGCAAACGCTTTTAGACGCTTTCAATCGAATAGCTTAAGAGAAGAACTTGAGTTGAGTTGTCGGTTGTTGTTAATAGATGGCAGTCTTCAGTTTCGAATTCGTAGACGTTGAGAATGTTACGCCATCTAATGTACAACTTTTACAACTTACATGTTGTTTTGTAATTTGGAAAAGCTAATTTTGAATTGTTTACAATTATATTTATTTATTGTTGATCTATTATATCATTATCACTGTATTTAAACAACGTGAGAACTCATCGTTTTCAACACCAATGTAATTTTAATTGTTTAGTGTATAAAAGGGCGTATAAAGAGTGTATTAAACTGGAGAAACACATTGTACTTCTGCTATCAATGGCGTTAGTCTGTCCTTACAGACGATCGACTTATGATGCCTTCTTATATGTACCTGTATCAAGTTGATAATAACAAGTAAATATGATGAAAATTTTGGTGAAGATAAATCTTCTGAGGATATAAATAAGGTATCAAAAACAAAATCTAGTCACTTAGACACAACATCAAAAACAGTTTATCAAATACTTCACTTTGAGTGTCGAGGAAATGGACATGATGCATGCTGATTTTCAACGGAGATTAATTTAAAAGCTAAAAGGTGACCGGTTGTTTCTCGTTGGTAAATTAGCGAAGACTTATTAATAACCAGAAATTGTGACCAGGATCGGCCACTTCACACTTGGGAATGTTGGTTATTACTGTAGGGTATATGGCTGACCCACTTCAAAACCAATGGCCTTAAGTTAATATTTTAAACGTGAAAACTCTAAGCAATATTGCAAGGTTGTTTGTCACTCTACCTGGGTCAACTGCCCTGTCCTTTTCTTTGGATGTTTCAGCTAACGGACACTTCAGAGACCATGTTAAGCCATGGTTGCTGAAAAAAGAGCTTTGGTTTTATTAATTTTGACAGTTTGAGAATTTATTAAATTAGTCTTTGCCATTTGAATAGAAGTCTTGTTTGTTGTTTCAAGAATCTTATGGTCAACATGGATGATTGAGAGGATAGTTATTATGGTGAGTTTATCTGTGAACCACTTTTGAACAGCATTTCACCAATAAACTTGTAAATACAGAAATTTTACTTCTTTTTGCTTTAGAAGAGGTCCTTTTTTCTCGTTAGCACAACGATGAGAAGTTACAAGAGTTCAACCTGGAAAGGTTTAAAGCGGCAAGATCGGCCGTAAATTAAAGTAAATACAGAAATAGATGTAAAAAGAAGGCTAAAAGAAGCTTTCTTTTTAATCTTGTCAAGCTTTAAGTTAAATCCTTTTCAAGCCTTCACAGGACATCAGTCTCGTCAAATTATGAAATGAACCAGTTTTTGATTATTCACCACATAAGCACGGAAAAAAGCTTGTGAACTTTCACATCAAGTTCATTAAATTATAAACAGTTTTAAAAATAAAAATTGATTTGCTTCATTCGATCGGAACAAGATTGTAATTGGAAAAGAACCAGTTAAAGATCGAATCGCATTACCCTGATTCGCTTTAATGGAAAGCTAAGCATGAATTAGTCGAAAAAGCCAAAGAAAATAGCATTTTCTCGAACTTTCGCAGCCAAGGAACAGATGCGCTTCAACATTAAATTCAAGGGGAAACTAGAAGAACCTAGAAAAGACTCTCAAAAGTAAAGTTTATTTAGACAAGTAATAAACTCATTAGTAGCCCAAAATCACGAAGAAACTGCGATTTCTTTAAACATTCATGCGAAGTCCAGTAGCAGTGAATAACTTTCAACAAAACCTTCTCGACGCTTCTCACTGTTTTGATCATTGAAAGTAAACAGTTTCAATTGAATGTGAAAACTGTTTCTTCAAAATCATTTCAAAGATAAACCATTTTGAGAGACAGAAAGCACTTGATTTGCATTATTTAACGAAAAATTTGTATTCACTGAGAAGATTAATTTGATTCCAAAGATATTTGAATATCTTTACAAAAATGTGTAAAATTTTGATGGTAAATACAATAAAATGGAAACCAATGGAAGTTTTGAGAAACATTTATTTCCCTTGAAACTGACCATTTCTCAAGATTGAATCAAAATTGTTTGAACTGTTTACCAAAGATAACAAAAAAATGCACATTTTCCAGTTTTTCAATCTTCAACATTTTCCCTTGAATCAAATAAGAATTGTTGATTTGGAATGATATTTATTCATAAAAATTGTTCAAAAAATGAATCGATAGTTTGATGTTCATTTTGTAAAGAAGTTTTGAAGCGTTACTTTCATGAATAAACCCACAAACCTAACCAGAATACTAATGAATCTAATTATTACTTATCATGTCCGGCAAGATTGAACGGTTCAAGACTTGAAGGACGCAAGTTACATGAAAATTTTTGCGATTCAATGACTTCTCGATGAGGACAAACATTCATTGGATTGAAATTTTCCCAAAAAAATACTTCACTGAAAAAATGATCATCAAACCAGAAATGGCGAAAAATTAACCAAAATTATTTCTGGTTTACTCAAAGATTGGAAAAGGGAAAATCGATGAAAAATTGAAATTTAATGCCGAGTTAAATTCATTACTTTTCTCGTTTTCCGACAATTTCATTCCATGGGAAAATATCGATAATCAATCCAATTGCCAAACAACTGACAAAATATTATTTATCAAGATTCTGCTTCGCATTTGTATCAATATCAAACAATTTTTCACCATTTCTGTTAATGTTTTATCTTGCTATTTATATTATTGCAACAGTTTACTGTTTATCAAGTTTTATTAAAAAATGATCGACTTTTTGTTTTCCTCAATGGATTGTTGATCGATACCATTGTACTATTATTTCAGGTAATTATCATTATCCAAGTCAATTATTGATAAACGATGTAATTTTCACAAATATATCGCTATTGTAACATTGGATAACACTTTAAACATTTGATATATTATATGTATAATGTATATAATAAGTGAATGAGAAACAATTGATAAGTAATGAAATGGAAAGGAAAAATTTATCATGGAAATGGCAATTTTGTTTGGCAAAACAAATAACAAATAATTTGTTTCGTTTGTTGTTACCCTTGATCAATTGTTGGATTGAACCAGATGAAGATTGGGAAAAAATGAAACTATTTTTTTTGTAAATTAAATGGTAATCATTTTCAATCAGTGAAAAGTAGCCGCTGTCCTTATGATGGCAATTTTGATTGATTAACTTGTTATAGTAATCATGATGGAGCAAACTGGACCCAAACAAATTGGTTGAATAAATTGAACTCTCTTCAGTATCCAAAGGGACTCATTAACCTTTGGTCAACAGCAACCTTCATTATGCTGGAAACCAGTGCAATTATTTTCATTATCGCCATTTCCAGAGTCACCACAAGAAACAACACCTGAATCATCATCTTTTCTCATTAGTATTTTTTCCTCCTCTGACTTTAACCTTAATGATCTTTCAATTTCTCAACAATTTATTTTCCTTGGTTGGAAATGTTTCCAATTAACAAAGGCTCAACAGGGCAACAGGGTTTTGACTGTCAACTGATCAGTGTGATTTTTGGATTATGATCCTTATCTAATGGAGTAAGTTGATATGGAAATGGGTTAACAGCTCGAGAAACTGGTTCAAAAGGTTAGACTTTTCATTTTAGCGATTGTTTCCATTTCTGTGAAGCTTTTAAAGGTTTCACATCACATTGACAATTTAGCTGATGATTTTACGCCATTTAATGTTGCTTAATGTAGCAAAAGCCTAACCAGTTACATAAAGTATTAGCTAGTTTTGGCTAATGTTTACTAATGCTGGCTAATGTTATTGTTCATTTATAGCTATAATGAGTGATCAGCCATGTTTGACCAGAAAAAAATGAACAAAATTGAAACTAATCATTTTTTTCCTTCTAATAAAGCGTTTCCTCGTAAAGCTATTGTTGACAATTTTTGCTTGAAATCATACACCTCCAAGCAACTCAACTTGTACAGATTTTTACTGAAAGCTTCAATTTGACCCTTATAAACATGAGATCATTTTTTTCTCTCTCTCTCTATCGTCAAGGTGAAACAATTTGCAGTCGATATTGTAAATTATGTATATAATTACAACGGTTAATTGTAACATAAAATTGCTTGCTGGCAATAAATGATCTCATGATAATGATAGGTTGAAGCTAGTAAAAAATTGTACCAGTAAAACAATATAATTGGAAAAACACAAAATGTATTCCCATTACGTTTGATTGTTTAACTGTTCGTTGACCATTTCTTTTGAAGGTGAAATGTTAATGTCTTATGAGCGAAAAAGCAAAAGCAATTGTCAATGTAACTCTCATCCACCTTCACCTCGTCCTCCTCCTGGTTTGCGCTCAGCAGAGACTCTCATTTGTCTTGATATTCCAGTTGATTAAAAATGGTTTTCCTTGGTTGATTAAAATGTTATCCACTGCCTTTAGGGGTCCATTGGTAGGTAAGTAACTCTATGTAACTCTAATTATGTTGGGAAAAAAAGAAAAATAAATTAATGTTGAATACAGAGAAAAAAAGAGGTTGATGATTGATGAATTGCAATTTTCTGGCTCTCAGATTATCTTTAATCTGAAAATCATTCCTTCCATTGTTTAACCGTAATGATGATGATTACAGGCAAAAAAACAACAACTCATAATGCGATCAAAATGATTACCTTTTACTTTGTCCTTTTTGGGTTCATTTTCAATGTTTTTCTTTGTCACCCTTTTCACCATCATAATCATCGTTTCAGATTAAACTGTTTAAGTTGTTATTAATTTGCTGCTGAGAAAGGATTTTTTACCTTAGACTTGTTATGATATCCATTGTTGGCAAGAGTCTATGAGTCTAGGCAAGAAAAAATGGGGAAAAGTTTGATATGTGAAACATTTTTAATCTTTACCTTTTGTTTTAACCCTTGGATCATACATCTTATTGTCATGTATTTTCATGTTTAGATAAGCAGCCTGGATAAAGCTTGTGTCTTCAATCTTTAAACGACCTGATGAGCTTTCTTTAATCCTCCCTCTTGCTTTTTCCTTGTTTCGATCCCCAATGATTAACCAATGAGTGGAATGGAAAAATTCATCGAATCCTGTTTAACACATTGTTTTCTTTTACAGTTTATCTCTTATAATCTTGCATTTGTTTTCTCCATGCAATTGCATCAGCATTTAGCGTATCAAATTCAACTCTTGAGAAACTGGTGCTCAGATAAGACTTTTGTTCAAATCATGATGATCATGCTGATGATTATGATCGCGTTGATGATGGTGATGATGAAAATTGGAGTTGAACAATAATAAGAAAACCATTAAAATATCATTAACAGAAAGAAAAGCTTCATAAAGAAAACAAGATTTCTTGTTAGCCTTTTCATTGAAACGCATTTTGTTTATCAAAGAAGTTTTCCATTTTTGCCAAAACTCAAACCAACATTTTCACATGAATTCACAAAAATTTCGCTTATTCATCGATTTTAATCATTTGGATAAATTCAAAACCAATGTTAATTAAAAGCACTAATTATAAAGCAAAGGTTAATTTATTGAAGAATCAACTCGATTCAATCAACTGTGTTGACAAATTTTCCCTCCAATTTTATCAACGTTACTAGCTGTTACCAATAGATGGAGTAACATTCAACGCATTTACAGTTGTCTAGAAGCTGTTGAAACAAAGTGATGATTAAACTTCATTATGTAATTCATTTTGATCCAAATGTTAATTAAATAAATAAGTTTTATAAAAATAGTTCATGATTTAAAAGTGCCATTAATAGAGTAGTTGTTTCCTTGTTCCCACTTGGTGTAATGATACAAGATAGAGATTTCAACGAAGAGGGAAAATGGTGAGTACTTTCAACAATATCGATAATGTCTTTTTTATCCTGAGTTGTTTGTTTACCAATGTTGTTCAATTTTTTTCATTTTAATTTGTTTTTTTATATATTTTTAGACTCATCTTAATGGAAAGTGCCTTTATCTAATATTGAACATTAAAATCTTTCACATGATTGCGCTGGACAATTCAAAATGAGAAGACCCATTATCAAAGTCATCGTCATTACCAATATTCAACCAAAGATCAAACAAGATAATGAAATGTTAACATAATAGCAATTTAAATCGCAATAGTTGCCCATTATTTATGTTGAGAAGAGGGCAATTTAGTCAGTGAAAGGAAAAGTTGATTCATGAATGTTAAAAGGAAAGCTGAAAGTTACCCTGTTGTTTGTGCACAAACAAATGTAATAAATTGCTGCCATAATTCAGTTGATGTTGTTCAATCAAAATTGGTACAATTTTATAAATCATGATGGTTTAAAAATAGTTTTGGTCACAAGAAAGTGCAGGCAATGAAAAATTTATCAAATTTAATGAAAAAACATCAGTGAAAAAAAGGTAAAAGCAAAATTATGGCTGCAATTGGTGATGGCAAAAAAGAAGGAAAATAAGCAATAAAACTACAAGAAAAAGAGTTAACTTTTTTAGTTTAGTTTTCATTTTGTTTGGTCTTCACTTTGGTCTTTCAAAATAACAATGTTTGGTTTAAAGATGATGACGATAAGGTTGGGAAAGACAATGAATAAAGAGATATATACATTTGGATGAGGATCAAGACAAAAAGGACGATAAAAGATATAAAAATGTTGTAAAAATTGGCAAGGACAAAGGCGATCTTAAAGGTTCAACTCCCTGGTAGCAACTTTAACTGGATAAAATAGCTTTTCCAATAATATTCTCAATATCACCTACATCATCTTCTTATCATCATAATCAGTTCTCTTTTGAACATACTTGAACATTTCATCATTTTGTTCATCTTTTCATCTTCTCCTTTATCGTCTTCTCTTTTAGTGTTTTGTGATGGAAAATCTTTCAACTCTTTTGTGTAAACTTGAAACATTTTTTTTTCTCGCCATTTTTTCCCTTTTCTAGTCTTCTCTTTTTTTTCATCTACTTCATTCTCTCTTTTGAGAAACTGAATTTCCGTTGAAATTGATGAGAGAAACATAATCATTATCAAAGTTACAATGGAAAAAAATGATGATAACGAAGAGATTAAGAGTAGAAAAGGAATCATTTTTGAGCAAGATGAAGATGATGGCGAAGAAAAGGTCAGCGTAAATATTGTTTTCTTCCTTCTCTTCATTTCGCTGTTTGTTAATTCTCATTTTTTCTTGTTTCGTTTTCCTTCTTTCTTTTCACTATTCCAGGACAAAGGATTTGTTCTGTGACATGACAAATTCATACCAATTTAAAGGATATTTAACTTGAGAATAAGAGTTTCCCAGGAAAAAAGCAAATCCCAACCAACTTGGTCGCCAAGCAAGTCAATGATATATTATTATATACATTACATGATTGTTTATCATCATCAACATTGTCCTACTCTTCATCATCATTATTATAATTTGGGTAAACATCTTATCATCTCTTTCAAGTGTATTGTCTATCCTCATTGGTCTTCATCGGTCGTCTTCTCGTTTCTTTATCATTCTCTTGTCTCATTGACTCTGGCCATTCAACTTTATTTTGCTGTTGTTTCATTTTCATCAAGATAAATAATAATCAAACAAATTGATGTTACCTTTACAAAAAAAGACGAAGCCCAAAAAACAATGGCAGACATTGAAAACTCATCTCAACTTTATTTAGTGACCATTAGCAAGTGACCAATTGATTTTAGGAAATGAATTTCCATCGTTAAATCATTTTGATCTTGCTGCTCAAAGAAACTTGACCCCGCCATTTATCATTAATAATAATGATGACCATCATGATCATCAGTTATCATGAGAGACAATCACAATTGTTGTGTTAATAATATTTCTCTATTACCATCAATTGAGATACATTTGATTGCATAGTATTTTGTCATACATTCATGTTTTTTTTGTTTCACTTTCACAGAAATATTAACTCATCACATCAAAGGACAAATGGACAAGATAGAAATCACAAGAGATGACAAAAAATCGTTGAAAGGAAACACTGGCAACCATGAGATTTCCATCGACAATGAACTAAATTTGGATGTTAATTTAGCACCAGTCAACCCAAACTTATGGACATCTCAATACAAAATCGCCAACCAAATCTTCAGCTACAAATGCTTGTTGGAAGCTGTGTGTGCAAAACGTTAATCTAGGCAATTCTTGTGAGTTAATTAGAATCAAATTTTTCTTCCCTTGAGTTGAATTATTTGTAATAATTAATTTTAATGGTAACACAAGCAGTTATAACTAGACTTTCTAGGATGATGTTGACATTTTTTCGTTAATTTAATGCAAAACAAAACGTAAATAGCTCTTACCTATTGTCCTTTGGAGGGATAAATTTGTTGTTGTAGATGCTATTATATAAGTTTGAAGTATAACTATTGGTGTTGATTGGGAGAAACTTTTAATTAATGATAATAAAGCTGTATCCCGGTCTTCATTAATAGTTAGTAGATAGTAATTTACATACTCAATGGATTCATTATTTTCCTGTAAGAACAAATAGAGAGAAGAAAATTTGATTAACATTTTTTTTTGCTAGCCATTTCATTGAACTATTCAAGTGATAATCGACACAATTGGAGCAATTTAAATTGGACAATTGGACAAAAGACAGTAAAAACTAAACGAAATCAATTGTTTCAATTGTTTCAACTAATAACTTTAAACAATTGAAATGTTCAAATTGAAGTTATCAATTGTTTCCAGAGACAAATTCCAGAGTTGAACTGAAAATTGTGTAAAAAGTGAAAAGCAATTGGAATGAAAGGGAATTGGAAAAGGAAACAAAAACTAAATACATTGAGTTGATTATTTCAATTACAAACGTTAATTGAAAGATTTACCTCAATTACCAGTCTTATAATATATTGACAATTAACAAGTGAACAGCAAAAGGTTAATAACATTGACCCATCAAACAGTTTTTTGTTTTACTGTTGCAACTAATTACTTCTCAGGTATGTTAATTAAATTAATTCAAGTGGACACTCAAATAAATTACAGTTGTAAATTGTTAAACTTGCAACTTGATTACCCTTAACCCAAACAACCCGAAATTGTTGATTATTTACTTTTGTCTAATTTGTTGCTTTTCTTTACAGTTTACAATTGGTAAGACTTTACAATTGTTGAATACAATGGAGAGATGAAAGTTAAATTGAAAAGATAATCAAAGATGATTGGAAAGAAAAGCTGCTGATGGAGAATCAATCATGAAAATTGTTGGAAACAGGAATAAGAAGGTGAAAAAAGAAGAAGAAGAAGCAAGATGAAAGAGTAAAAATTTGTAATCATTTACTCTGGAAATGGAATGAGAAAAGATTCATTATTCTTTCGACTCCCTGCCGAGGTTTGAACTGAAGGCTGAGCGTTTTCATCAGTTTCCCTGGTTTAACCCTTGATTTCTTTCTCATTCACTTTCAACTTTTACAGGATAACAGAAAATGATTGAATCTAGAAATGGGTAAAACAAGTTGATAAAGGTTAAGGTAAAGGAGGCAAAAAAGGTTGATCAACATTTTCATCATTTCAATTGAGCTCAAATTTACTAAGATAAAAGAGCTTTTCCAGAGTAAAGTAAGTTGTTTTGATTGTGATTTTGGAATCAACTTGGAACGTTTGAGAAAGGAATTTATTTGGAAAGCTTTTGAAAGGTTGAATTGGGCGGATTGGATAAGAAAATAATGAATCCTCAGAATGTTGATGATGCGTATTGATTGGAGTTTGTTTTTTTCTTTCTCTCCTTTTCTTCATTTTGTTTTTCTTCTTCTTATTATTCTTATTCTTTCTTCTCATCAGACAGTCCCAGGGATTCCTTTGGATATGGAACACCAATGAGAATTATATTGAGAGGTATAAAAGGGAAGAAGCATGAAAAGAAATTGAAGGTTAAAGGTAAAAAGTAAGTTGGAAAAAAGCATCGATTTTGGGAGGGCAAAGTGAGGTTATAAAAACTCTTTTTATTCCGTTTTCCATTCCATTCCTTTTCAGTCAACTTTATCTATTTCATTCACTTTTCTTTATCCAAACTTCCTTTTCATCATCCTTCTTCATCTTCGTCCTTTTCTCTTCTCATTCCAATTTCTTTTTCAGTCTTTTCATTTTCTACTCGCTTTCACAGTCGATTTATGATACTTTTTTGTTTCTCTTTACAACCTTTTCCATTTCACTTCTTCCACAACAATCCAAGTCCATTGATGATCGCTTGATTAAAGTGACCTCTTGATCAACATTCATTACATTAACTGCTTTAATTGTTCAACTTTTCATCTCTTTTCAATCAAAGTTGACTTTTTTTATGTCTAGTGATTGGCTTTTTGGTTTCTGAAAAGTACTTTTGATTATTCAAATTTACTAGCAATTTTAGTTTGTTGGTTCGCTCAAGATTGATTGGTTGATTATCATGAAATTATCTTGCATTTGAAACACTTTATTTCACTCTGTATTAAACCATTAAACCTTTACTCTTTACCCTCTTCTTTTTATTGGGATAAATGGTTTCTTAATCATGCTCATCTCTTTTTATCTTCATCATTTCAATTCTGTCTTTTCTTTGTTTTTTGCTCTACTTAATCCTTAATTGAAGGTTCATTATTTAACCTGATTCTCCTCATTTATTTCATTTCATTATCATTAACTCTCCCTTTTACTTTTCCTCTCTTTACCAGTTATTATTGGCAGCAAAAAAACAAGAGATGAAACAATTGAACGGCGAGTGAAAGCAGCTCAGTTCACAGCTGTAAGGTAATGTTGAGGCAACTTGCGTTTCTGTATAATAGGGAACCTTTTCTTATTGATGATAATCTAGGGTGAAATGAATCAAGGACAATTGGAATAACCATTAATCGTTACCTCTCAAACGAGTAATGATAAACTTGATCCATTATTACCAGATTGATGGAATATCGTTCAAGTTGTTCAGTTCAATATTTCAATTGCTTTATTGACAATTTCAACCCCATTTGATTGATAAAATCAGATTGTGATATGAAATTCGCGATTCTTGCCATTGTAGGAGCAACGAAATTAACGGCAGAATCGAGTGACCAATGACTTTGAACAAAATATAATATTTTTCAGACTTTCATTAAGTCAAATTTTTTAATCCAAGTTTGTCTTGACTGAAAACATAATGAAAAACTGGGTAAAATATCTAACTTGAGAACTTGGATTGACTTATCTCACACATCTGGACGTCAAATGACCGAGCTTTTCGTTCTTTTTGAAATATGGAAAAATAAAGATGACAACATTATTTCAACATTCAGAAGACTTTGCGGAATCGCGTTCCAAAAATTAAAAAATCCATTAAAGGACGGATATAAGTTTCGCATCCAGCTGGTCGAGTTTCTTGCTGAAACTCATTTTACTAATAGAACTGGCAGAGCTAAGTTGGATAACAATATTAATTATGCGTGGTAATGAAGCACAACAGGAAAATTGAAATTCTGTTGAAATATCTTTGTTAAGAAAAGGTGGCCTTGCTTAGACGCACAATGTCAGAATAGCATTTAGACAAAATGGTCAACATTAAGGAAGTTTACGTTCAAAGGCATTAATATCACCGAAATCTGTTGTATGGCCAGTTTATCAAGAAACTTTACGTAACTGACACGCAAATCTAGTCAAACCTCTGACCATCTTATAACTAGAACAACAATCAATGTGATTATTTGCAAGTGTACGATGGACTATTCAATCAAAATAAACTCGTCTTCGAAACGCATACCTTAGAGAACTACAAACATTTAATAATATCAACGGTGTTATCTAGTTTATTTGAGGACCTTATCAAAAAATCTTGAACAAACTTAAAAATAAGAAATACAGAGATCAATGAACCTAGTATGTGGAACCTAGTAGTACCTGATATGACGTTTATCTTGTGTTGCTTGACTATCCACCAGATTTCAAGTTGAATCTGAATAAATTGTGTTTCTAAGATTAACCTTGAAAGGAACCAATTAAATTTGAACCTGACATTGGCCATGAATTAAAACTCAGCAAATCAACCTACAATTTGACAAACTGAAATTCATTATCTATTCAAATGAAAAGAAAATTTCAAGTTAAACTGAGACAAAAGTTAACTAATTAACTAAGGTAAACAGAGAGTGATTCTTCATTTCCAATTTCCTGATTTATTAACATGATGCAAAATGAATGTTCACAGATCATTGAAATTCTTCTCGTGGAAAAGAAAAGCCCAACAGATCAATAACGAAAACTTTTACCATTAACAGTTCAACTAATACCCTCACAAGCAGTTTCATCATTATCGTGATTACATTTTCAAGTTTTCACAGAAACAGAAGACAAGTTTTCCTCTCCATTTTCTTCTACTTTACAGTGTTGCGTTGACAGAAGAGGCCAAGAAAAATGTACAACTATATTAAACATGATGATGAATGATGGTTCCAATAATGGTCAATCCATCCATCAAAAAAGGACAAAAAAACTAGTCCCAAAAAAAAGAGAAAGTAAAACAAACTTTTTTCCTCTAATCAAATGATTATGCATACAACTTACAACATGTAAAGAAGGCAAAGTTAGGTGACGAGCAAGAATGAAAGTCAAAGCAAAGATGTATCTTACTGATTCACTTTTTGATGAATTACTTAATCGCCATGAACCCAGGCGAAGATTAAACATTTTTTCATCGACTTGGAGTTAACCAAACTGGATCAATTGGACATTTTTTCATAGCAACATTTTCCTTCTAATCTGACTTGCTTTTCTGGATAATCATAGTCACAAGCCAGTTGAGCTTATCAACATTATCATTATTACCGCTATTATGATTCCCTGCATCAGTCAACATCACTCTTGATCAATGTAAAAGCTTTCATTATGAGTGCAATTATTTTTTATCATTGTAATAATATTGTAACATCTAAATAAAGGCAATGATATTGTTTTTAGAGTTGAACCATTTTCTTGGTCTTCTTTACCTTCGGTGAAACAAAAGCCAATAAATGGCATAATTGTAACCAAGTCTTCGATTACAGGGAATGATAACTATCCATTGATTGACAGCTAATGAATGTTTATTGATTAATCAGTGAATAATGACTGGATAACAAGGTATCCATTGTTGATTGAATGAATAATTTAATAACAATGACATTAACAGAACATTTGACTGAAAGTCTTTTTTTCTCATCTTCTGTTTTCTTTAACCTTCTTTTCCGATTTTACTATTTGATTTTGATTTCTTTTGTAATTCAATTGATTAACTCTCTATTTTCACGGCTTTTCAAATAATCGCAACTTTTTGCTCCTTTTTTTCCTTCTAGTTTCCTCCTCTGTATACAGAACTTTTCTTTTCATGATTATTACTCTCTTTGTTGGTTTTTGTCTTCAGACTCTTTTCCTGCCTTGTAACTAATCAATGAAAAAGTATTAGTTGAGATGAAAAGAATTGCTCAAAACATTGAAACTCGCCTAGTTCATCATGATCAACTTGATGATGTACAAAAGTGTGAGTTGATAAAAAATGAGTTGCTATCGATTATTGGTGAAGCTAAATTGCAAATAAGTTATTCACATGGAAAAATGAATTTCGGAGTAAACTTGATTAACCTTTTATCGATTTACAACTTTGTCTAGATTTTGCAGATAAAAGGAAATTGAAAGTTGTAACATTTGCGAAATTGAAATGAAACTTTGAGTTGAGAAAAGAATGAAAAATTGACGAAAAATTCAATGTCGACAAACTCATTGAACGGCAAGACTCGAAACTGAATTTGTACCTGAAAGAAAAGTGTCCTTTGATTTACCTTCGAAAGCTTCACTTGATTCGAGGCTAAAATTAGATAAGTTTTCATAAGTCGACTAATTTATGAGAAAATAACCTCCAGGGAATTTTCATGGTAATTCAAGAGATTCATTAAGGAGAGAAATAATTACAAATCTTCATTTTCAGAATTTTGTTGAAACTTGCAGTTTTATTGTGATAAATTGTAGCAACAATAGTTGGTCGAAACGAGAAAAAGAGATAATTTCATGAGAAAATTTCTTGTTGAATCAATTTTCGCATTTGGCGACAAATTCTTGGGTTTTTTGCCATTTTTTGTATTCTTATATTGATTGGACTCTTTACTGGTTGCAGTCAACACAATGGAGTTTGCCTTAGAAATTGAAAGACAAAATGTTTGCTTTTCCTTTTTTTTCTGGATTACCAATTAAATGTCAATATTGAATGAAAAGGAAAGAGATGAATTGAACTGAAATGGAATTTTGATCTTTCAATATCATGAGAATTAAATTGTCTCAATTGTCCATGAGTTTCAAATTGCAGGGAATAAAAATTGAGTTAAACTTACTTTGACAGGTTTAGAGTTGATTGTTGTTGAATTGTGTGTCAAATTAGCTGAATGCTGAAGAATACTCAGGTAAAAATCTTCTTTACACTTTTTACTTTCCTCTTTACGTTTCAAAGAATAACATTTATAAGTAAAAAATAATAGATCAAAGTATCTGTAAGAAGAGAGAGAAGATAAATCAGTTGGAATATGAGTTTGAAATGAACAAATGATGATAAATGTAAACATTTGAGGTTATCCTCATTTTTTCATGTTTCACTGATTAAATTTAGCACAATTTTACCATTAAAAGAGACAGTAAATATGATGATGTTAATGATTGAAATGGTGAAATGATGGAAAGGGAAAACAATGCAACTGAAATGAGCTGAGAATACAAAAACAATTTTTGTTTTACTTTTTCGATTCATCAAGCCACTTGATGGAATCACAACTTGTCGAATCGCAAGTTTCACGATTACCCTTGAAAAATCTCGTTGATCAACTTTACACTCATTCATCATTTTGTGCATCAGTCTCTTAACAAGTTTCAAGTTGTAACAAAATGATTCAATAAAATGATCTTTACAACTTTATAACAACTTTACCGACTTTAAACTTCACTTTATCCAATATTCAATCAAATTCAATTTCAACTTTTTATTCACTTTTTGCAACATGAAATAAACTCATGAATGAGAACAGTTGATTAATTGAAGATTTTTGAAGTTCTATGATGGTATTGAGTCTGAGAGGTTCGCTTTTTGCTGGTTCAGGGGAAAGTGCGAAGTTGAACGTTCAATTTTCTTTGATTATCATTATTCGATTTTTGGGTTCTCACTTTTTTCTCGACATTTAAAGTTTTATCACAAACTTGATCGAAAGTTATTTAAGTATTTAATGTAATTAATAAGATGAACAGTTTAACACTTAAAGTTTTTAAACTTAATTTGAGCGTCTAGAGTTTCATCTTTAAAGTTTGCTTTTGTTTGTTTCGTGTTTTTCATCTTTACATTGGTGATGAAGTTGCTCGACAAAACTTGTCAAATTGAATTATCGTCAATTCTCTGAGGTACAATCGGTGTAATACTTTTGTTTCTCTGATTTTCACTCTTTTCTTCTTTTCGCTCTTCTCTTCACCATTCACATGGAAACTCATCATTAACCTTCATCATTTATATTATTCCAAATGTGAAAGACAATCTCACTCTGGGATTCTTTTCGTTTAGGTTCGTTAAACTTTACACCAACACACACACAACCTTTTCCTTTGCGAAAGTTGAAACATTGCAACCAAATCTTCAACTAACCAAAGAACACCAAACGCAAGATGAAAAACATTTCAAGTTACAATTATTAACCAACTCTGATCAACTTAATCGCCTAACAAGTTGCACGAGTGGCTTGACAAGCATTTTCATAAACAATTTTCAGGTCGTAAAAAGGATGACTTTTGATGGACTGAAAAGCAGGGGAAAATGTCTCCATTAGAATAACATTGAAACGATTATTTTCTTGCTTCATTAAACTTGCTATTCCAATGCTATAATTTACCTTATCTGTTGGCGTAAAACTTTTTTATCCTTATTTTTTCACTCCAATTTTCCTTTTCATTCTCTGTCCAATTCTTGACACAAGAAAACAAGTCAACTAAACTTTACCGTTTAACAAATAAAATGGATAAGGTTAGGTTACATATGACTTGGCTATAATACACTTTAATTGCCAAGATCATTACTTGCAATAGATAATGTCTTTTGTTACCTTAAGAGGCCAAGTCTTTCAAGAAGGGAATCAAACGGAAGAAGGATGAGTTGATGAGGGAAAGCAGAATAGAAGGAATCGAAAAAAATAATGACCAAAATGATTAAACGCTGAGCTTTTTATCCTCATCCTGATCATTTTGACTATCTTAGCTTATCCATCAACATTGGAATCGAATGGAAATGAAAAGTTTAATTTTTTTGACGAAACAAAAATTTTATTGTTTCGTTTGTTTTTCAGTCTTAGAGTGAGTCTTTACTTTTGTAGCATTTTTATTGCCATGAAATTGGATAACTTGGATCTGCTTGAAAGGAAAATTTTTGCTCGATAACTTTTTTCTTTCATCAATTTACTTTTTTTCATAATCTCATTGAATAATAATGATCATGTTAATCATCGAAACAGCAGGATATATTCTGGATAGAAGCTGAAAAAATGAATAATCATCATTCTAACCATTATTTGTTCTGTTAACAACTTTTTTCTTTTTCAGCTCATTTTTTGTTCATATTTTTTTCTTCTCCAGCTCTTCATTATCAAAGTGTTATTATAGTCAACAGAAATACTGTAAAAAATGAATTGCTATTAACAAGTTGTTATCATTATCATAATGAGAAACCCACGGCTTTATTATGATGAACAGTTTATTAGCGAATAATGATAATTGAATAATCAGGTTCAACACTTGAAATCGGACTCGCACCATTCCAAGATTAGGGAATAATCTAAATGCTTGGAATACGAATCCGAACATTTTATCATTCAATCAAAGTCGCTGGTAAAACAAGTTATCAATATTTTACTACTGGGAGTTGACACTCCCTGAGCTTGTTATGGAATGCTCAATAAACCATTTCAACTCGAAAACAAGTTTCAACAATTTGTCGACTTGATTGACGGATAAAATGTACAAAATGTAAATGTTCGTGAAAATGGAAAATGAAATTTTCGAAATGCTCAAAACTCGAAAGTGTTTTCCCCATTGAACACAGAACTTCATATTCTCTGAATAACATGCAATTTTCGTGCAGTTTATGATGTAATTGTAATGAATTTTGATGAAATCCTCATGAAATTCTGTTGGAATTTGATAAATTTTCTTGTTCTTTTTATCCTGAAATTCCGAAAAATAGAAACAATTGTTTAATGATTTACAGAGTGATCCGGATAAAGAGAAGAGCAAAAAATGGTAGAATTTTTTTACCATATTCTTATTGTTCCATGATGATGTTGATGATAATCATGATTATGATGCTGATTCTCCATTTATTTGATATTCATTGAGTATACCATGAACTTTTTTCTTCTCCTTCCTTTCACTTCCTTCTCAATATATATTTTTTTCTGCTTCTTTGCCTTCTTATTCACTCTCTTACTCTGAATACTTATCAGAATTTTGTATCGTTCATCTTTTCCTCTCTTCTCTTTTCCCTGTTTTCCATGAAATACTTTGACAGAGACAAAATCGAGTGTAAGAAGAGAAGAGGAATATTAAAGCCACATAAATTCATAGTTTTATCTTTTGTATTAAACTGCAAGATTCACTGTTCTGTTCAAGAATCATTATCATTCCTTTATCTCACAAATTTCATTTCAATCACATTTTTTTCCTTCTCTTCCACGTCTTTCCCGTTTTCGTCAACATTGACATTAACATGGATAAGAGAGGAAAAAAAAGAGATTCTTAAGAGTTTTGATTTTCTTTCATGCTGATAATACAAATGATGATGGGTAACAAGAACAATATCATGAGGCTCATGTTTGTGAGTGTCAATGTGCTTCTGACATTATCATGTCAATGAATGAAAGTCGAACAAAAATCGACAAGAAAAAGACAGAATAATGATGATATTTGATAATCGTCAACATTGAATATTTGCTTTAATCTTTTCTTCTTTTTGTTTATAAAACGAAAGACATCATCATGAAACAGTGAATCCATCAAATTTAATGGAATCAATGAGTTTTGAATGGAAACAGCGAAAAAAGCATCAAAAATTTTTCTCTCCATTTTTATCTCTCTTCACGATTCTTTACTTAATGTACTGAAAAGTCAATAACTTGAGCATTTTACAGTTTTCATGACGCTTTAATGTTCAAGTCAAAATATTATTCCAAAAATTCGATTATCTCATGGAAAAGAAAATCAACAGAAAATTCTTAAACAATTCAAATGATGATGACAGTAGAGCTCAGAATTGATTGATAACAGTAATTGAAGACTGATTATTCACAATTTAATGAACTCATCATGAAAGCTCAAAACTTTTGTTCGATTACAAAATTTCCAAAAAAGAATATTCTAAGAACATTTTTTCGAAATTCACCATTTCACTTTTTCAAGTACTCTTTTGCTTCCACCCTGAAGCTCTAAACATTGATTTCTCATTTTTCCATCAATTGACTTTTCTTTTGTTTTGCCAGCATTACTGAATTGGAAAAGTACTTTTCATGATGAATCAGACTTTCATTTCATTTAACAAAATGAAAACATTTCCAAACAATTTTCACATGAATAAAATCTCATGAAATCGAAGGAAAAGAATGTTCTCTTCTTTTCTCTTTCAATCACATTATTCAACCTGATAACTTCATTGGAATGAATAGAAACTCCAATAACAGAATTTTGAGTAAAAAAAGAAAAGAGAATTATTTTTATCCGAAAAAAGAAAATAATTTTGAAAAATTCAACAAAAGTAAACAATTGATAGCAATTAATTATCGAATGTAAATTTACTCCAAACTAGTCAAACAAAGCAGTTATTCAAATAGATACTATTAATTAATCATGAAGAGTTTGAATGGAAACTGAAAATTCATCATTATTATCATGAACAAACAACAACAATATTTCCTGCTAAATGAGCTTAAACTTTGAACTGAGAGAGAAAAGAAGCGAAGAATTATTTCTTCAGAAGAAACAAAAATTTTCACCAAACATTCGAATATTCATCATATTCGTTTGAATAATTTTTCACTCCCAGTTATCTTTTAGTTTAACAGCAAATAACACATCTGGTTGAGTAAATGTTGATTTAACAAAGTTAAACAATGAACAATATTGTTATCACTTGGAATGAATTTTCATTAGTTAATTAATCAAAACTTTTTTTCTCTTTCTTTCCAAATCTCTAATTGTATTTACATTGGACAGTGAAACAATTTGGGCAACATTTATCATCAAAGTTGGCCCATTAATTAGAGTCTGGTTAACATCTATTAACTAAGACATTAACAACAGTTAAATATGAATTTGCGCTCCAAAAAGTTCCATTTCAATTGGATTAATGAGGAGAAAAGATTTTTTTCAGTTTTATCTTTTTTCGCTAATCAACATCTGAACATATGTTTACAACTTTTAATCAAATTTGGACATTTGTTTCATTAAAGGCTTTACTCGAAGTCCAACTC